CTCAAGTTTAGTCTGATGCCATTTACGCTCTAATCGCCTAACAGTCTGTTTCATAGCTCGAGTATGATCATTGTACCATGGAGCGAGCCTTTTCTGCCTTATTCTTTTACTTTTTAGTGGAGCCACATTATCTAAAGTAGAGCAAAAAGTGTCTTCCAAACATTTAGTCAGCATCTCTAATTCATTAGGTTCAGACAGACAGCTAATTAAGGATGAAAGATCTGGTTTTCAATAAAGCTAATGGGTGTAAATGATGTTATAGTATGTTTAACACTATAGCGTGTGGATGAACATATATAACGACTATAACTGATTTCATATGAGATTAAGTAGTGATCTGACACTGCTGTGGTCTGAGGAAGGATGGCCAAATGCTTAATGTCTATACCTAAGGTCAATATTAAGTCTAGAGTGTGGTTATAGTAACGAGTAGACCCCATAATATTTTGAGTGAAGCCAAAACAGTTTAAAATAGATACAAATGGCTTACTTAGCGGATCCTGTGGTTTGTCTATGTGGATATTAAAATCTCCAACAATTATTACTTTATTCGAGATTGTTATTAAACTAAATAACAGGTCAGTAAATTCCTGTCAAAACTCAGAGTAAGGCCCCGGTGGCCTGTAGATTATGATGAGCGAAAATGAGCTCTCATTTGTTCCTCGATAGCTAACATTGAGAAACTGAATTTCAAAGGAAGAGAAACTACGGTCTGCTTTCTGGTTTATTCCTAAAGTATTGGTGTAAATGGTTGCTATGCCTCCACCCCGACCGTATAGCCTGTCGGGCTGGCTTCATTTAAAGCTAGGTACTCTTCAGGTCTAATCCACATCTCTTTTAGACACAGAGCATCAAAGTCGTGATCAGTAATAATTTCATTCACAACGACGGCTTTAGGTATGAGAGATCTTATGTTAAGCAGTCCTAGTTTTGGACCAAAGGTGCGGTCATTGCAGAGTGGTACAATTGGTCTGATATTAATCAAGTTACTAGAGCAAACATTTCAAGGCTTTTTGATGCTTTGTTTTATTCGGGGAACAGACACAGTCTCAATTGGGAGACACCTATGAGCATTTGTATTTATAAAATAAGTATTTTTATCATCACTTGCCTTATTTACAGTATAAGTGCTAGTAATCGTCTTATTTTCAGTACTAACACTAGCATTATAAGCTGTAGCGTTTCTATTTTTGGCGCTACTTACGTGGCCTTTGCTGTGTAGTCAGTGGATGGCCCTCTCGATGTTCCTAGAGAGGACAACAGATCTGAGATGACCAGGGTGGAGGCCATCCGTGTGCTAGAGCGCTGGCTGTTCCCGCTGCTGGGGCGGGCAGCGAGGAGGCCCGAGACGTAGGCGAGGGCGTAGGCAGTGAAATGAGGGCGGCAAAACGGTTGCAGGAGGTGAATATCAGCTGGGGTGATGGTGAGGATCTGCAAGGCCCTCTGCGGCGCTAGCGTTCCCAGGGTCCATGTGGGGCTGGCGTGAGAATGGCGTCTCCCGGCGTGTGGAAAGACGAGGCTGGCGCAACCACCGAGGGGGAAACTTCCCGGGTGGCTTCGAGCATCGACTTCCACCGAAGGAGCTCGTCCTGCTTCTTCAGGAGGGCGGTGATCTGCCGGTCCAGCTGGGCCAACACTGAGCTCAGTGCCTGGAGAGCTCGTTCTTGGGGGGACGCCATGGTGGATGGGCTGAGGAAGTATCTGTGGGAGAGACAGAGAAAGAGAGAGGGAGAAGACAAAATAAGAGGGAGAGGTGTGAGGGGGTTAGCGGCCTGCTAACTGCAGAATTTTCAAGTAAAGTTTGTGACAACACCTGTTGTAAAAAGCGCTATACAAATAATCTTTGACTTTGACTTTGACTATAACTCGAGTTTAAAAGCGCTTAAAAATATAACAGCAGTGTTAAAATGCTATTCGGTGTTCAGGAAATGAATATATCCTTTTTATATGAAAAATGTTTAAGCGTTTATAACTATGCTTTTACTCAAATGCTCTGTCCTAACCCATTCATTTTGGACTCGCTCAGGAGCACCCTCTAGCGTTTGAGAAATCCGGAAGACATTACAGAGTGGTAATTATCATACACTGGACTGGCCGCCAGTCCATCACAGGGCAGGCAAGCAGACAGACATATACACACACACATTCGCAGGGGCAGTTTAGCTTGGCCCTTCTCACTGTGAGGCAACAGCAATACCCACTGTGCCACCATATTAGCGAAACAGTATGGATAAAACAAACATTCGGTGTGCCTTTGTATTATTTGTATTCATCTTCTTCTTGCTGCTTGCGAAAATTTTAAAATGCAAGTTTTAAAATTTAAATAAAAAGAGACCTAGTTTGGACCGTAGCTTTATTTTATACCCATTTTATACCCATTTCATGTACAAAGCACATATTTTAACACTTCCCTGTTTAGTCACAATTAGGAATAACCTGTTTCGTCATAAGGGATAACTGAGTAATTCTAACTTCTTGGTCTGTATTGATCAATGAAAAATGGAAAAGTGGGATATGTGAATTGGTGTGATGTAATCAATAGCATAGCCCCTTAAAGTGTGTTTTAACTTACAGATAATGGTAAATAATTGTAATGACTTAAGGCCAGTGATTATTATTTTATGTAATGGTTTATGAATAAATAGAACTGAAATGGCTGATGACTGTCAGACTTGCATGTGACGGTAAGACAGATCAGGTAAGGTCAGGTAATGGGGGTGGGTAACCTCTCCAGAGAAGTAAAAAAAAAATTAGATTTTTCCAGTTTTTTTAGTTGCAGCCCAGGGCAACTCAGGTTAATTCTTTCATTTGTGAAGCCTTAATTTTTAACAAAAGATTGTACCTTTCTCTGCCATTCTTGGGGTTTAATTATTATCTGTTTTGTAATAGGTGAAGTTTTATCTTTTGAATCAGAAGCATGCTGTTTTTCCCACTACAAGTTGTTGAAGCTAACTGAAGCAAATTTCCTGTTAATTTTGATGCTGAAAAATAAATGATTTGTACTAAAGGGCCATTTTGACTGGAAGTTACTGTCAGTAACTGGTAGTCACTGACATGTGCTTACTACTGTACAAATTATACAGTTATAAAATTTGCTAAACTCCAGCCCTGATAAATAAGGCATGCCCTCAAATTTTGATGACAGAATGAAAACATGCACTATGTAAATGGGTCAGGAGCTCTAGCTGAAGGACTTCTTTTTGTAATGGTATGTAAACTGGAATATGATGTTAAACATTACATTTCATCTTAAAAATATCCACAGCAATCAGGGTTGTTTTCAGTCAACTGAGATTCTCTCAACATGAGATTCTTGTGCATCAGGTTTAATTTTCAGTTAAACAAATTTACATTTTAGTTCATCTTCGGTTATTTTAAATCAATAAAGTGGTTACTCCACTGCTCTAAAAGCTAAGCTTTTTCTGGCATAATTAGAAATGAAACAGCTGCCCTTTGCATTGTGTGAAAAATTCCTGTTGATTGGACCAATAGAAACATCCAAAAATTGCTTGAAATAAAATCTCTTTACATTAACTTATGTTAAAAGTAAAGAATGTTTTGCCCTCTCCTATAAAGCTGCCGTTTTGGAAATGCTTATTTTTCTTAGGACTGGGAAGATATTTAGAACGCATACATCTAAAGCTATGGTATGTGACACAATGCAGCTAAATTTTGATCCGTGCTCTCAATGATGAGAAAAGCTAAAGTAGCAGGACATTACAGCTATGAATATACCTGTCCTCCTCTCTGAATTGCTCATATCCTCAGTCATTCACCACAATCCTGACAGCTCAGAAATCACTGGCGTCACTGACTAAACAGCCCTTCCTGGAAAGTCTAGGAGTACCTCCATTCTTTAAAAAAAAAAAAAAGATAGCCGCTTTTGGTCCTCTACAGTGTTTCAACTATTGAACAACCATTTAAAGAACCATCCTACATTATCAAAAAAGAAGAAAAAGAAGAACAAGAGGAAGAAGAAGAAGAAGAAGAAATAAAGAAAGAAAGAAAGAACAACAAGTGGTTTTTGGAGAGATAGTATAAAATAACCCCTTTTGGTTCCTTTTTTAAAGAACCATCTATTGAAAGAAACTTTTGAAGAACCATCCTACATTCTTAAAAAGACGAAGAAATAATAAACAAGTTACCAAAAGGTATGGAGGCCATAGTATAACCCCTTACTTATGTTGTCTTGTACAGTATGTATTAATTGTACTCCTGTATGTTTTTCCCACTAGGGTTTTTTTTTACTGTGTATTTTATCTTATTTTTTTATTGAAAAAAGAAAACTAAAACATATATTTAAACATCCAATAGCACCTGCTATTCCATTAAAACTGGGTTACCCACGAAAGAGGCTGTCACAGCTTACACAGAGAGCAGACCCAGTCAGTTAACTGACTTCTGAATAAAGCAGTGGTGCTAAAATGGGTGGACTGTAAAATGTATACCAGCTCCTAAGGTAAAGCTGGAGAACAAATGGCTCCTAGAGTTAAAGATTTGAAAGTGACCAGATGGGAATATAACAAAAGTAATGAGAGTTTCAACCCATTTCACGTAACTGCGTCACCTTGTTGTGTTCAGGGTGGCGAGATAGTCAATTACTTGAGCATTCCAGCAAATCTGTGGTCTAGACTGTCAAAAGCAGTGACACTAAAACAGATGTGTTAAAAAACAACACATTCTGTCTCTAACTGGACACATCAGTGTGTTTAGTTGGAGACACACAATTTGAGTTACTCTTAACACAAAATGTGTTGAAATACTTCTATGCCCAGTTACGGGTAACACATTTTATGTTACTTTTAGCTCAGTATGTGTTAAAATAGAAAAAGTGTTAAACCAGGTAGGTGTGTTGTTATTAAACACATCACTTTTTAGAGTGTACAGAACTGTGCGTGTTGCTCCTGAGTCCTCTGAGGAATGGCCAACAACACAAATACCACCACGTCCTCTTAGGAGGGGCTTCCTTCCTCTCTTTCCTCTTCCACCTCTCAGCAGCGATGTGTTATTAGAGGAGGCGTGCAGGGTTTTGGACGCTAAAGCACCTTGCTTCGCACGTGAGGAGTGACCACCATTCGCTTTCCATACAGTGAGCGTTCAGACTGTGAAGAATGGACTCCTGCGGACATATCGTCCCGTTTCTCCTTTTAATTCTCCTCCACGAGGGACGGTCACTGCGCTGCGCGTGCACGACAGATTTGAAAACGTGCGCGAGCATCCACGAAGCACCGGCGGACTTCCAAAGCGCCCAGAACGAATGCAGAAAACTGGGAGGTGAATTAATGCGAGCTGGGTCTTCCCACGCCAACGAAACCATCGAGACTCTGCTCATTAACACGAGCGGAGACTTCTGGAGCGGACTGGAAGCAGAAGACGCGTGTTCAAGTAATGCGATTGACTTGGCGGCGTGTAAGCAAGTGTGCATGTCGGTTTCCAGAGGCAAGAACTTGACAGAAAGAGCGTGTGCGGACAAACTCGATGGATTCTTATGTGACGGAGTTAGCTGGGACACATGCTCGCTGAATATGACGGAAAAAGTCATACTCTTAGATAAGAATGGCTGCAGTCAGGGTCCCTGTGATGTCCGGTGCAATCCAGTGGGCAGCGGGTACACGTGCGGCTGCTTAAATAACTACAGACCGAGCCGTATAAACCCTCAACGCTGTGAGTATTACTGTTTAAACGACACGTGCAAGGCGTCTTGTTCGCAAGACAACAGTTTATGCTCGTGTCCCCGAGGCTTCGTCAGACATGATGACTATTTTTGCATGGACATAAACGAGTGCGAGTCCAACCACAACTGTGAGCAAACCTGCCTCAATACCATTGGAAGTTACGAATGTTCTTGCAAGGAAGGCTATTCTCTTGTAAATGGGTCTGCGTGTGTTCCTAGACTGGATTTTTATGAAGGGCAGAACACTCCAAACACTGGAGGCTCGGTCAACGTTTCTTCCCTGAATGACTTCTCCGGGCGGGTGGCCAGCCCCGGCAAATATGCTGGGATTTCAGTGACCATCTTGGCCGCTCTCTTCGGTCTCATACTGCTCGTACGCTATTTGCGTAAACGGAAACGTGAGGAAGGAGTGAAGGAGGACTGCGACGTTCTGAATGACGCCCAGCAGGAACTGTAGGATTCTGATGCCGTGGTTCGACTTAGGGTCAGAGCACCGATGACCACGCCGGTCATCAACTGTTCTGTTGATCCGCGAAGATCGATCTCTGAATGTCTAAAGTTGCTCTACCGAGTTAAGAATGTATGTGGGAATATGTCTACAGTTGTATTTTAAACCTTGTTTTCTTACTTCTACTTGTATGTTAAAACAGTAGAAGTTTTTCACTGCTGCATTTATGGACATACATGCATATACAGTCGTATGCAAAAGTTTGAGCAACCCCAGTGTTACACATTTTGTTTATTTTCTATGTAAAATAAGTGAAGAAATCATGTTATTTGATGATGGGTACATAAACATAAGTCTGTATATGGGCTTGGAAAACATTCACTGGTTTATTAGTTAAAAATGCAGTCAACTATATCAAAGTGTTATTATAGGTTTCTTCAAAGATAATGATTCCCAGATGATTCCTAAGACTAATGATATACAATACTGTGCAAAAGTTAGAGACCCCTGTCATTTATTTAACTTCCAGTCAAAATTGATATTAAGAACAAGTTATTCATTTTTCAGGTGGTATTTCTGAGGAGAACAGATGTAAGATACACAGGTCTGTCCATCCTTACACTGTGAGGAGACAACTGAACCCTATGGGTCTGAAAGGATGTGTAGCTGCCAAGAGGCTGTTACTGAGAAAAGAAAATAGACAAAAAGGAAAAACGTTTGCAAATCAAACAAAGAAGCTGCTGGTCTATGGCTGGTCTTCTCAGAACAATGGATGACCACCCCAGAGCCCAGACCTGAACATCATTATTTGGATCATGAGAAGCAGAAACTACTTCCACAATTGAGCTTTGGAGGTGTGGAAACAAGTTGCTGCAGATTTTTAGAAAAAACTGAACGAAAGTCTTCCAAAAAGAATGGAAGCTGTAATAAAGATGTGTGAACTGAAAATTATTTTTAGTCTGACGGAGATTTTTTAAGTGAAAGTAATAATTTAAATAATTTAAATCATAACTAATTATATTATGCTGTAAAGCTTTCTCTGGGCAACTCTCGCTATGTGTGTGTGCTTGTGTGACCCCAACTATGTGGTGTGTGCTAAGCAGGCCTGACTGTGTCAGGGGCTGGGGCCTGGAGAAGCACACACACACAGATTCTGTATGTACTATTCTATGAAGAATGTCTTTGAAAGGACAAACACATACGTAGAGAGACTCAGGTTGACAACATTAATCGTTGATTTGATTCCATAGTTAGTTACACTGTGTGCTGGCCTTAAGGTTTAATAAAAGATTGTACCTTTCTCTGCCACAAGTTGTTAAAGCTAATTGAAGCTAATTTCTTGTTAAATATGTTTTTTGTCTTTTTGCTTGATGCTGAAAAATAAATTATTTGTACTAAAGGGCCATTTTGACTGGAAGTTCAAGAATGAAATCATGTACTATGTAAATGGGTCAGGAGTTCTAGCTAAAGGACTTCTTTTTGTAATGGTATGTAAACTGAAATATGATGTTGAACATTACATTTCATCTCAAAAATATCCACAGCAATCAGGGCTGTTTTCAGTCAACTGAGATTCTCTCAACATGAGATTGTCTCAGCATGTCAAGTTTAATTTACAGTGAAACAAGTTTACATTTAAGTTCAGTCTTCTGTAATTTTTAACAAAGTGGTTTCTCCACAGCTCTATATTTTGTAAAGTTAGAAGAAAATATATGCATCTTTTTGTATTCAAAGAGATAAAGTTAAAGAGCCAATGTCTTCTTGCAACAATAAATTGAATCAAAACCTTTTCTGCCTTGATCTGTAATGTGAAGATGTGAAGAACCTGTAAGAAAGTTGCTCAGATATTGTGATACATGTAAAAGGTAAACAAAAAATCTCTAAAATGCCCACATACACTGTGTTCAGCTCCAGGCACAGCTGTAAATCAGACTACAGCCCATGATTTCCTCACTCAGTCATATTTTGAGTCAAACCTTTTTTGGGTTTTTAACATTTTAACAATGAATAATAACAAAAATGATGTTAATTGGCATGATCTGGTCTGCTTAGCTTTTTTGGTTCTGTCCATTTTTTTTCTTCAGATGACCAGGGTTAATTCTGGTCATTTTTAAAACAGACACTCCAAAACAACCAGTAAAACTAAATGTGTCCTCTGAGTTTTTATATATAACGTTGATGATGGTAAAATAGTGGTAAATTTTAAAATCAGGGTTTTCTTTGGCTACCATTTTGCCTTACAGTGCCCTGCATGTATCTCTATGAATGGATTTTAACAGACCAAACCTCTCCTAAAACAATGTCTCAGGCATCAGGAAGCAGGAAGCATATTTGTTGCCAATTAATGTAATAGCTTTCTGTGATGTAGCTTTTAGAGGCATTAAACTCTAATAGCCTACGTCTAGTTCCCACCACTGTGAACAATCCTGACTCAGTAAGTTGCTCTAGTACAGAGCATTTCATATCAACCCTGAATGACCGAATTCTCCTTTCACTTACTTGGAGTTCATCTGGCTCTGAATGATTATTTGATTGAAAGATTTGATAAATGAAGATTTACAGTGTCATTTCTGTAAAATTTCACACTGATTCTTTGTTCATATTAAAGTCCACACCTCATATAATGAAATACTAAGCAACTGTAGCTCAACTGTTGAAATAAGCACAGATTACCATATACAACATGCCTTCCAGCTCCCCTTTTGACTGATACTGCATAACCGTGCCATTATAACACGAATACAATACACATATTCATTGCTAAGCTGTTTTACACGGGTTTTAGGCTTGGAACTTAGTTTAAGGCTGTCTACTGTACATTTGATTGTTAATGGATAAAACACAACTCACCCTGCGTGAAATGCGCAGTAATACGACTTTACTACTTTACTGTAAACTGAATGGTACTTTGCCCTGCACGCTACCATATACAAATCACCTCTCATCACGAGGAAGTCTCACCTACGAGCACCTGAGAAACGCCTTGTTTTCGATTTTCAGCTCAACTCAGCAAGAGATAACATTAAAAAGTCATTGATTTATATCAGTGAACGTGAACAGGCCAGAGGGAAGACGTGAAGACGGAGACTGATTTGCAGATGGTACTTTGAGGTAAGTAGAGGAAGCCTCCGCGAGCGGCGGCACTATTTTTCTCTGCTAGAGCTTCAGAGCTCGGAGTGAAGTGAACGAGGCAGGATAGTTGGGTAGCGACGGCAGCAGCCGTGCAGGTGACGCAGTTTTCCTCACCGAGCGACTCAAACGGGGAGGATGAGCGCCAGCAGCGTGCTGTTTGGGCCTTCCGTTTAAGCCACTCTTATTGGAATGAATGTATGGAGGATTATGAGGCGCTGCTGTGTGTCTTCTCCATGGCGCTGTTTTCACCATCACCCCCTGCGCGGTGGCGAGGAGATGCTAGCTGCCTGCTGAGCCACCACACAGCACGGCTACGACATTAACGCTTCACTCGCTTTTTCTCTTCTCACCGTTGTCCTCATTTCAGAGCACTGACGCCCGATGAATCTGACTCTGTGAAAAGATGTTTCATCATGCTGGTAGGCAAGCTAAGACATCTGGGTTTGTCCGCATTGCCGTCTACGGCCCGTTTCTTATCATATTCACCACCACCATCCCCCCTCAGCAGCCGGTCACCGCCTTCCCCGACCCTACAATAGGTAAGAGGCTTTGGACCCAACCGACACTTTCGAACAACAGCTCATGTCTCAGTAATGTGTTAGGTCTAGTAGTGTGAGGCATTTTTATGTACAGTAACGATAGGATAAAGCATAGATGATAAATTGTAACTATCTGAGCCCTACAAATGTTTATACTCCTACATATCTCCTCAGCTTCTACTCTGGCATTGTACCTGCTGCCATACAGCCCACCCTGCTGGGGTTTTTGTTCGACCTTTGGTCATGAAGCAGCTGTAAAACATGAACCATTCAGTTAAGCAATTGTGTGCAATTTCCAGTAGGGCAGTTTTGCAGAGATCCAGGTGTTCCAGAGCATGGACGCAGAACACCAAGCACCGGTGTGTTCTTTGAGAATTCAGTGGCCAGATTCTCCTGTGTAGAGGGGTACAGACTAAAGGGAGCAGCAAAGATCACATGCACACGCTTCCAAAATGGATCGATGGGTTGGAGACCAAGCCTTACACCACTGTGCCTTCCAGAAGGTGGGTATATACAGCAGAAGTTCATCCAGGGCAGTGGTTTGTCCTGCAGTGCTAGCGCTGCCCTGCACATTTTGATGTTCCCCCTGTTTATACTCATGTTCAAACTAATTAGCTAATTAACAAGCCCTTCTTGAGACGAAGTTGGTGTATTTGAGGAGGAGAACACCAAAATATGTAGGACAGATGTACTACAGGACCAGTATTGAGTAGTAAAAGTGGGATATTTTGTGTTAAGGCACTATATGACTGACTGTATTTCAGTTCTTTGTTTTTAATAAGGGCTGGATGATGCATGCAGTTATATTCTTTGATTGAACAACAATGAACTGAAGGCACTATCATTTTGCCAGGCTGAGTGAACAGTGTAACTTGTCTAAACCTCCTCATATTTATAGCCAGAGCTATATATAAAGACTAATGGCCAATACTTTGCAAATGAAAGCTGTTTTGAAGATTGATTTGCTTTGTCAACCTCAAAAGCATCCTATAATGTGGGACTGTTCAGGAGCAGATGGAGTTTTAGTTGCTGGTGACAAGAGTGAGAGATATTCTGCCTTTACACATTAGGGTGAAAATTTTATGAGTAATTATTGAACCCCTTGAATGTTAGGCTTATGCTCAGTCACTAACTTTGAGATTTATTATTCAGTAGCTACTATAAAGTACTCAGTAACTACTGTGATACTGAGATGAATGTTTTGTAGTTATGAAAATGAGGACTGAAGTGTGGGTTGAGGTTTAAAGGGTTAAGTATTTTTTCGTGTTGTGCAGCTTTACTGCTTTAGTTACAGAATACCTGAAAATGCTAATCATAAACAGCGAAGCACTGAAAAGGTTTATTTCAGCTTCCACTGCCTTGATAATGTGAGGTCTGAAATGCAGGGTGTCTCAAGTCAGTATATCAGCTTATAATAAAAATGAAGGCTGCAAGTATGCACATTAAGAAAAGTAAACTTTTTAAATCATACATTTAGTACCCTTTTCCTCCCTTTTAACCCAGTCACAGCAAATATATATCAGTTAGTTAATAATTTCAGTTATCTTTACAAGACATTAGGTCTTTACATCTGTAATGTCATGTCTCTTCAGCCACAAAGGCAGAGCTAAAGGCCCCAGTTGTTTTATCTAATTGACATCTGGCTTTTGACAGCAATAACACTGAATGAAAATTTTTGGGTTTAGTGAAGTTAGCTTAGAAATAATGTTGAATTTTATGACACACCAATTTGAGTTCACAGTAAATGAAAAGAAGTCAGTTTGGTTGAATAAAGTCTTAAGCAAAGCCATATTTACCAAACCAGTCCCTGGCCCTTAACCCTAACTGACTCAAAAATTTATATGAGTTGATTTGTGTAAAAGTTGTGCAGACTTTTTTAAAACTGTCATTGTACAAAAATTGAATTTAAAATGTAATGTTAGTTAAAAAGTGTCTTAGATCTCTTAACACACCTACAAGGAATTATCTTCTACAGTAACTCTTTTTGCACAATAAAATTGATGTAAACCAAACTACTTAAACATTTCAGAGTTTAGCACTTTTATTTAATTATCTGTACTCACTTATTCCCTTCATAGATTGTCTTCCTCCATACATTGAGGATGCTGATGTTGCTAATAAGACCTACAGGCCTGGGGATATCCTCGATATTAGCTGTCATGAGGGATTTCAGATCCGTTATCCTGACATGGATAACATGGAATCGGTTTGCCAAGAGGATGGAACCTGGGACAATCAGCCTATCTGTCAAGGTATGATGTAATCTGATTGTAACCATGTGTAATGCACTCAAAAAGTGAGTTACTTAGTAAAGAAGATCGGAACATAAAAGGAAGAGACAGACTGAGATTATTTATTATTTAAGGTGGGTAGTTGGCTTTCTTGGTGTGCAGCATTTGTGCAAGAGGGTAACAATAGCTTTACAACAAATACAGGGCTTGTGCCAAAATAGGAAAATTAAACTTAGTTTTAATAAAGTTTTCTCACTAGTAATTAACCTAAAAACAAACAAAATATATAAATTCTATCCTAACTGTAGGGCCTACTCAAAAGCAGGAAAAAAGAAACAGTAAGTTTATTAGTGTAGCTAAGGCTGAGCATGACTTTTAACATCTTAATAGATTTCTAAAATGGTAAAGGTTCACAAACTGAACGTCAGTTTGTCACAGAATTTCTTGTCTTTGTATCATGTGGGTGCTCACACTAGACGGCAAGACAAAGAGTGAGTATAACACATAGTGAGTTTTGGCTACGAGTAAAAACTCAAACTCCCAGATCTCCTCAGATATCACATGACACAAAGCTAAATTTATCGGACCAGAACGGATTGTGCTTTTGTGTTCAGCAAAAGTGCAAACTGGGTATTAATATGGGGTTGAGAAACACTGATATCACAATGAGAGCTGTAACAATATTTCACTACAAACTGGCAGCTGACTGGAAATTGTAAACAGAGTGCCTTGACATCTGGATCCATACATAAAAGACATGATAACGGCTTTTATTTGCCTGTGTTTTACACGCAGCTCCTTTGTCTCTACGCTCTGCTGTTTAGGCGGTGGGCACGCACATCTCTTCACCCTTTTCTCCACTTTGCTAGCTCTCTGATTGGATGTTGTTTGAATCACTCACTGAGTACATCTTTGACGTTCTCACTACAGGACGTAGGAACGTTTTTAGTCGTAAATATCAAACATGTTTGATAATATTGGAGGGCCTCTGATCACTCAATCGCAGGGCTAAAGATACACTTGTTTCTTGTCTTACACTACCAGATCATCTGCGCCGTCAGCTTCTGATAGAGCTCCAGACCTGGAAAATCACTTCAGATTGTGAAAATTTGTCACAAGTGGCAAATCAATGTCAAAATCGGGCAAAAAATCATGCCATGTAGGCCGAATTTCAGGCAATTAAGCATATGATAAGCGCATCTTTGGTGTATTGTTATTAATAGTAAACAGTGAAAATCAGCAAAATATAGTTTAAACTGCAACATTGAGTTAGACAAAGTTTACATTAGTTCTCCGTCTGTTTGACAAAACATCTTTTTTGTTCTCTTCTCAGGCTGCCTGCGCCCTTTGATTCCTCCTCACAGTTACATGAACATCTCTGAGACAGAGTTTTCTGTGCCAGTCGGAACGGTGGTACATTACCAGTGCTACCCTGGCTACAAGCTGGAGGGGGCAGAATTACTGGAATGCATGTACAACCTCATCTGGTCAGATGTGCCACCCCGGTGCCTTGACGTTGAAGGTGGTTGATCATAACTATATTATTATTATTATTATTATTATTATTATTGTAATTATACAGTTTATTAGGCTGCTGAAGAGCCTCAACTAATTCAGAAATGTGCATCCAGGGGCCCCCATTCCCATCTTTATCCTAGAGTCCCAGAATCACTAAATCCACGCCTAATTTTGAATAAACATTAGATACTGGTTGCACAAGTGAACAAAAGATCAAGCACTGAACAAAGTAAACCCAGTTTCTAGAGTTGTGCTAGTAGTATTTTGTATGTTGTTGGGGTATCTTGGAGACGTCGCTGCTGTAGAAAATATAAATAGAAGTAGATTTTCGGTGGTTTATTTGTATATACTACCTAGCTGTACTTATTTCAGAATACTCAGAAATATTTGATTCACTGTTAAACAGAAAAATATTACGTTAAACGCGTTATATCAGTTTCCTCATCTAAGACTCTCATCCCTTTACAGTATGTCCATTACCTCCAATGGTAGAGCATGGAGATTACATATGCCATCCACACCCATGCAACCGCTATATCCATGGGACTGTAGTAGAGTTCTATTGTGATCCTGGCTATCATCTAGCAGATGATTACAAATACATCACCTGTCAGTATGGGCAGTGGTTCCCTCAGATGCAAATCTACTGCATTCAAGATGGTAAGTCCTGTCATGTGATATACAAGAAAAAGGCATTATCAAATACTTGATGCAAGAGTATTTATATAATTGAGCTGAAAATATAACTTAGTGTAGTAATATCTTTTCAAAGAACTAAAGCATAAACATTGTACTTAAAGTAATAGTACAGTACATTGCATGAGTAGTTGTCCAGTTTAGTGTTCTCCCAATCTAGCACATTTGGTTAATTTCACGAAGCTGATGATTTGAATCTGATGATTCTGACCAGGAAAAAACATTAAACTCTACAGGGAAAAGGACATCCACATACTTAAAAATAAGCTCTTTGGAGTAATGCTATAAAAATATCTTTGGTTCCCTAAAGAAACTTTCAATAGATTGGTACTTTAAAGAACCCTTTTTGTAAATAATGTGTTTTTGTAAATGATAAGGTTTAAAGAACCTCCTAATACAGTAATGGTCCTGTACCATTTAAAAGATTTTCCTAGAATCGTACATCCAATCCAAGAACCATTTAGGAGTACAAAAGGAATTGAGAGCCAATTAATAGAGCCTTGATTTATTCCTGCAGAGACCACCTATCCAGGCTTTCAGGACTCCTTACTGACCACTTGGAAAGTGGTGGCATTCACCGCATCCAGTGTGCTGTTAGCTCTGCTCCTGGTGATCATGGCAAAGGTGTTCCATTTCAAATGCAAGACCCACCAAAACTCAAGGTATAGTAATGCAATGGTTCCCTACCTTGGTCACAGAGTAGCCCTGTCCTGCACTGGTGTTTTCCCTGCTCAGTTTCAATTTTGAGCGGGTTTGAAAGAAGAGATAGAGTTAGCAGGGCAGGGCTTCTCTAGAGCCAGAGCTATAAAGGTACATCAGCAGTATCTATTTGTTTATGTAGGATAAAAAAATTGATATATAGAACATCTTTTTTAGTGATGTGCAAGAGGACAACAGGGGTCCAAATGTTTTAGTAGTAGATGGCGTTGCTGTGTGCCTGCCTTCCTACGAGGAGGCAGTTGGCAGCACCAGTTACCAGCCACCACATATGCTACCCCCTGCTGGTCCAGAAAGTGCACAGCTCTCAGAGGAGCAAGACCCCCCTTCATATCCAGGGCACACAGAAAGTCAGAATGGCGCTCCACTGGACACTGGAGAGGGAGAGACATGTGACAGCATCTCGAACACATCAGAGTGTCTTCAGGCCACAAATGCGTCGTCTTCACATGCTGTAGGACTGAACAACATGTCTGAGAAGACTAATGTGATCACCTCGATGGAGGAGACTGCCTCCACAAGCCCCAGCATAGACATAGCAGATGGTAAGAAGACTGTTTTTTCTTGCCATTTGTTGATACACAATGTATTGTGAATTTATGGTGTCTAATGTATATGTTGTCTGACTGTTTTTCTCTAGAAATTCCTCTTGTGGAGGGTGATGAAGAGGACTGCTGATACTGTAGATATCCACCATGAATTTTCTCATTGCTGTAGTTAGGTGTTTCTGCACTCCACATTTATGATTTCTTTAATTAATTTTACACAGACCTCTTTATTTCACAGAATGGCTGATATTAAAGCTAGAGCACACAAAACACTAGCAGGGCAATACAGGCAATAAGAGTCATGTTTGTAATTTCTCATGCTTTGATCATGGGAAAAGACTATGCATTCATTGAACAAACTGTTTCAGTGTGAATCTTACATAATCTCTCAAAAATACAGCAGTTACCAAAGGGAAAATGATTACAATTTACATAGCCTTTAGGCATTACAACTGAGTCATGCTTTTAATTGGTTAACTCTGTCTAGCTAGCCTTGAAATGCTACACAGAACACATAATGAAATACACCACTATTAAGTCACACTCAGAAATCTGTACCTGCTCTAATTTAGAGATGATTGAGAATGATCAAGGTCGCATTAAATCATATTTACAAATATTTGACATGTGTAATCCAAGCGTCAGGTTTTACCAATATGTTAATACGTTTGTTGCTATCCAGACGTCCAGAAATGATCAGAATTAAAATACAGTTTTTCTTAAATAATTTTGCAGTTTGCTTATTTTTTAACAGGGATTATACATACTGTTGTATACAAAAGTTTGGACGCCTCTGGTCAGTTTGCACGTTTTGTTGATTTTCTAGATGAAAACAAGTTAACACATCCTCTACAGAGAACACACGTTTGCACATTTTAATTCACAATTACAGTTTATTTGCTGAATTTAGCATATAGAGGAAAAATAGAACAAAGTGTGGCCTGTGTAAAATGTATGGCACATTTACTATGTTATGTTTTACCTTTTTCTAATACGTTATGAAATAGTGCAGTAAGATTTGTAGGAAATTGCCAAACATAGGTTTGCTTTAGAGGATGCCTTAGCTTATTTTCACAGAAAATCAAAACATTATTTGACAGGGGGCATGGAAACTTTTTCATATGACTGTATATTACCTCATCTTGATTATGTGACAGTGGCTTAAATTTTGTAACTTGTGTTATTTGAAAAAGGAGCCTTGTGAAAAAGTTGAATAAACTTTAAGGTTAGCCTCTAAAACATCACACAGAATTCAGCGTTTTTATGTACAGTGGGAGGTTGAGTAAACAAAAACTTGAACTAAGCTGAAAGCAGTCATTTTTCCTTGTTCAAGCACACAATAGGGATTTCCTTCAGATTGTTTTATGCAGGTTATTCCATGCTTTGTGTAGCCTGCCTATCCAAGGTGACACTGACTCCGTGCTCACTGAATACAAAGGATACCTACGCACTTAAAAAAGGTTTTTCAGTATTTATATATACAGAACCATTATATTTATATATACAGAACCATTAACACTCAAATAACAGTTTGCATGATTAAATGGTACTTTGCATGGTGAAAGCGTTTTCCAGATTGATGGAGAATGTCCTGTAGATGGTTCTATATAGAACCTTTTTGTAAAGGGTTCTATATAGCACCACATAGAGTACTTCTTTTTTTTACAAGACTGACATCATAACAATGGAAGAATCCTTTTTGGTTCTATATAGAAGTCTTTTTAAAAATGTTCTGTATAGAACCATATGTAACAATTTTTTTATCAGTCTGAGGAACTCTTCACCATGCAAAGATCCATTCAGTCATGCGAATGGTCTTTCGAGTGCTTATGGTTTATACAGAACCATTTTCTTTTCCAAAGGACCATCTTTTTTAAGACTGCACAGTGCTCTGAGAATATGAGACACACAGGAAGGATAGTTTGCCAATACGTCACAAATAAGGAAGGGAAACACCCATTCTTTTTAAGAACAGTGTCCACTTACTGTAAATACTGTTAAATCATATTTTTGAGTAAAGCACATGCAGGTTGATGATGCATATCAGTTATGAGAAATAATAGCAGTGGCCAACTGTGTTGTTCTTCCTCAGAAAGGTTCTAAAGGAATACATTCCAGGAATGCAGTCATCTAGACAAAATTTTCCAATTATCTAGAGCGCAGCCATTCAGGAAATGGGCTAAGATTAGACTTGTTTGGCTCTATCATTTGGTCAGGAGAGAAATTAAGAGCTGGATGGGTATCATAAATGTGATTGCTAGGCAAATTAGGAATTCACTGCATCCTGTCGATAACTAAGCGATGTGTGTAAACTAAGTAGCCTACAGTATCTAAAGGGCACCAAATGGAAAAATCAACAGCAAAACCACCAATCCTTCCAAACCTGTGGACCAAAGTTTCCCTCAAAATGAGGGGAAGGTTTCTCAGTGATCTTTATACTAACAGTTCTCAAACCAACTTCTGGGCACACTAGCTGGTTCACATTTTTGCTCTTAGCCAGCTCCCAACATTCCTGAACGTAGCAATTAATAACACTGAATGCATGTGGTCGCTTGAATAAAACATCTGTTATTTTTGGAATTTTGGAGCGGTGTAAAATCTCTTCAGAGAAATTTATTGCTGGCGGAAAAAATCCATAATTGTAAATTGAGTTTTAGAGCCTAAGTTTAAAGCTGTACTATGTAAGTAACTTTCGGGAGAAATAAAAAACACCAAAAAAATATAGAGTCTGAACACTATTGTGAGTCACCCTGTAAAGCCCTAAAATGTCATTTTAAAAGTCAGAAGTGTTGGGTCAGATTTCACAGGAGTTTTTCAGACCACGTCATACGTTTCTACATTTGAACATAACACACAGAGTAAAAAAGGATGTCTGGCTCAAAGTTTGGGTCTCAAATGCAAAATCAACATTATACTGATGAAGATTTGATAACAATAATAGATAATTCACTTACATCTTCAGAAGACGCTCCTTGCCCCATTTTTACTGAGTTCTCTTTGAATACTCTTTCAGTGTTTCGCATTCATCAGATTCATCCATTTAGAAAGGGGTCTGAAGCACAACGATGTTACAAAATGTTACATATTTTCACCAGAGAGGTTTCCAGAGGTGTAGCTTTAAGTTTCAGCTTGTATGTTTTTGACAGTTGCAAAATTTAACTTATAATTTAATTTACAGCTTTAAATGTATCCCTTAAGCATTTAACCTAAATACTTAAGAGGTTCTATGCAAGTACCCTCTGGTACCAGCATACTGGGTCAAAAACATGGACTTTCAGATGGGCCATGAGAACTGGTTTGATTAACATTGGCCTTAATTGGAATGAGGTCAAAGGGTGTGGTTTTTACTGATGTCTTACAAAACATGGTCACTCTTTTTGAACTATGTTGTATAGAAAAGCAATGTCAGTTCCCTCACTCTAACAGAAGTGATAAAAAGATCAGGTCTCTACCAAACCGGTTCTTTTAAGTTGTTCAGTTTTCATTTTGACAAAAGGCTGACATGATTAGTTCAAATTGAGAAATGTGAGAACGTAATAAACATAGTAAGATGATCGGAGTGGAGTATGGAGTAAAAAACAAGTTATAAACCATCTACATTACATTGATAACTTTCCATTACATTGCAGATAGTGTATGGATCAGCTTCGACAGATCAGCATCAAAGGTTCTGCTAGATAAAATCCTAGCACAGGCTCTGAGAGCATGTCGTGAACATGTGTTCTAGACATTCCATAACCACTGCAAATAAAGATGGAGGAAATCCCACAGAACCTAAGAAGACTGCATTTGACAGGAAATTACTGGTCTAATCTGAAAGCCCGTAATAATAGTAATCCATCAAATAAAGTATCACAGGAGTGCTGGAAGAGACACAAAGAAACACAGTTTGTTTTGGGTGGACAGAAGAAATGGGATTAACTAAAAAACACAACAGTAGTAACATCTGCCAGCCCACCGTGGCTACTTAGTGCTCCTAAAATTGATTTCACACTTTTAGAGAGAGTAAAAATAACACGCAGGTATATGTAAAGAATCATATTGTGAAACTATCAAAGATGCATATGTGCATATATAGACAGATGGATCAAGAGGTAAGCAGCCTGGTGTATGTAGGCCCTGAATATTGAACTTTACAGTGACAAACATCACACAACCAGGATATTTGAAAGGAAATTTTGTTAGTATGTGCGCAGTTAGAAAAACTTAAAAGTGCTATGTATTTGTGTTTCAGTACATGAGAGAATAGAGGGAAATGATAGTGCTGATTAAACAGCTAAACAATAACTAAACAAGGACAAAGCTGAGGTTGAAAAATCTATAAGAAGAAAAAAATGACATGTGGAGTGTGATGATTAGCGGAGAGAGAATGAAGGGAAGGAAATGCACCTGTTTAATATTCAGAGGAAGACTGGGCCAGGTAAAGCAAGAGGCACAAAACAGAAGAAGAAATTACAAGACTGTGAATAAGTCACAGCATTTGATTAAACAGTACACATGGTAGGAAGTCTGAAGTGTCAGGGAATGGATATAGTGTAACATGTATTGTAATAGGCCATCAATCCCAGACTAAGAGAGGTTGCAAAGTCTTGGAGATATAGGTAGTAGCTTTGTTTACATGATCAATTTTATCAGTTTATTAAAAAGAAATTATTCAAAACAGAGAATTGCTGAATAATTTCACATCATTATGTCACAACTGACCATTAGAAACGAAACAGTAAAATCACAGAGCATCAGGAAGTTCTCACAGTTGGATGACATCGTGTAACCCCCTGGGAGGGACGGAGAGTACGACCACACCACACAGGTGAAACGTTTTCAAGCAATGAAGATGTCCAATTAATTGGTAATAATTAATATAAAACATGTTTTCTCCCTCCCTGCGATAGACTGGTGACCTGTCCAGGGTGTATCCTGCGTTCTACCCAATGACTGCTGGGATAGGCTCCAGCTACCCCCGCGACCCAGAAGGATAAGCAGCTTAGAAGATGTGTGTGTGTGTTTTCTCCCTCTCAATGAGGATGTTCATTTTAGTAACATTAGCCACCAGTGGCGTACTGGCAGTGCAGGTGGGGCGGTCACACAGGTGCCCCAAGCATAGGGCAGGGGGCCCATAAAGTCTTTAATGAATGCTTTATATCACTACTAATGTCATTTTACACTCATAGGTAGCTATATAATTTAATAACATACATCAACCACTGCCCTACATCAGAGCACCAACTTGGTAGAGACAGTAAGCAACCAAATTATTGTTTATTTTGTTTTTAGCATTACCGTATAGTGGGCATTTATTTATTCATTCATTCATTCATTCATTTATTAATGAGAAGATCCAGATGGGAAGATCCAGGTTACGCCACTATTATCAACAATGGTTTGCACAAGGTGGGTCTGCTATTTGGGCAACATTTAGCCAATGAGGCCTCAGTAAATAACAAGTCAGCTTTGCAGTTGTTGCACATGAAAAGCCTATGCAGTGAACAACAATTTCCCTGGAAACTGAAAGCTTTAAGCTTGTTAAACAGCCTTGAGGAACATCAATGACACTTTTCATCCTAACCATAGATTTTCTTTTACCCTCCCTTCAACTGGCAGGCGTTACAGGAGCCTCCACTCCCGAACCAGCAGAGTTTCTTCCCTGAGGCTGCGACCCTGCTAATCTCCACACCTCCACTTTAACTGCATCTTTGCACTTACTGTACTGTTACTATGTCCTAGCAT